TTTATTGTAAAAGTGTGCTGGATTTTATCAAATGTTTTTTCTGCGTTCTTGAGAGAATCATATGGTCTTTGTTTTTGCTTTTATATATGTCGTAAATTACATTTATAGATTTCTGTATGTTGAACCAGCCTTGCATCCCTGGGATAAAGCCCACCTGGTTGTGGTGAATTATTTTTTTGATGTGCTGTTGGATTCAGTTTGCTAGAATTTTGTTGAGAATTTTTGCATCTATATTCACGAGGGATGTTGGTCTGTTGCTTTCTTTTTTTGTTGTGTCCTTTCCTGGCTTTGGTATCAAGGTGATATTGACTTCACAGAATGAGCTGGGGAGGATACCATCTTTCTCAATGTTTTGGAATAATTTCTGCAGTATAGGTATGAGTTCTTCTTTGTATGTTTGGTAAAATTCGGGTGTGAGCCCATCTGGTCTAGGACTGTTTTTTTTTTTGGAAGATTTTTTATTGCTGTTCCAATTTCTGCACTTGATATTGGTCTGTTCAGGAGTTCTATTTCCTCCTGATTGAGCTTAGGGAGGTTGTGTGTTTCCAAGAATTTGTTCATTTCCTTCACATTTTGTAGCTTTTGGGCCTATAAATTTTTATAGTATTCAAAGATAATGTTTTGTATTTCGATGATGTTTGTAGTGGCCTCTCCTTTTTCATTTCTGATTGAGTTCATTAAAGTCCTTTCCTTTCTAGTTCTTGTCAATCTAGCAAGAGGGCTATTAATTTTGTTTATCTTTTCAAAAAACCAGTGTTTGGTTTTATAGATCTTCTGTATAGTTCTTTTGTTCTCAATTTCATTTAGTTCTGCTTTAACCTTAGTTATTTCCTTTCTTCTGCTAGGTTTAGAATTAATTTGCTCTTCCTTTTCCAGTTCCTTGAGATCGTTTATTAGTTTGTTGATTTGCAAGCTTTCTGTCTTTTGGATGTGAGCATTTAATGCTATTAGTTTTCCTCTTAGGAATGCTTTTGCTGTATCCCACAGATTTCGATAACTTGTGTTCCCATTATCATTTAGTTCAAAGAATCTTTTGATTTCTTTCTGTATTTCCTCCTTGACCCAATAGTTATTCAACAATAGATTGTTTAATTTCCATGACTTTGTGAAGTGGTGAGTGTTTCTGTTGGAATTGATCTCTAGTTTTATATCACTATGGTCTGAGAAGATACATGGTACAATTTCTATTTTTTTAAAATTTGTTGAGGTCTGATTTGTGGCCTATGATGTGGTCGATTTTGGAGAAAGTTCCATGAGCTGATGAGAATAATGTATATTCAGCTTTATTTGGGTGGAATATTCTGTAGATGTCTGTTAGACCCATTTGTTCTAGAGCTCTGTTTAAGTCCATTATTTCTTTGCTTATTTTTTGTTTGGACGATCTGTCCATTTTACTTTTGCTATGTTAAAATTTATGCTGTCTGAAATCAGAATCGCTACCCCCACTCTCTTGGTTTCCATTTGCCTGAAAGTTTGTTTTCTAACTCTTGATCTTAAGGCTGAAAGCATCTTTGTGGGTTAGATGCATTTCCTGGAGACACCAGATACTTGGCTTATAATGTTTTATCCATTCAGCCAGTCCGTGTATCTTCAAAGGACAATTCAAGCCATTCACATTTATTGAGAGGATTGCTATTTGGGATAGATTTCTGTTCATATTGTTGGGTAAGTTATTATTCTTTTGTTTTACCTCTGAAGGCATTGTGGAATCCAGGTTTTGGGCCTTCACTCTTGAATGTTTTTAATTTGGTGGGTGTCTATTGCACCGTTGAGTGTACAATGCAGGTCTGAGTACTTCGTGCAGAGCAGGTCTGATCTTCGCGAATTCCATCAGTGATTGCTTGTCTGGGACAGTCTTTATTTCTCCCTTGTAGATGAAGCTCAGTTTTGCCAGGTAAAGAACCTAGGTTGGCCATTGTTCTGTTTAAGAAGATTGAGGAGGGGTCCCCAGTCCCTTCTAACTTGTAGGGTTTCATTTGAGAAGTCTGCAATTAGCCTGATAGGTTTTCCCTTATAGGTTATCTGTTGTTTTCCTCTTACTGCTTGAAGGATTGCCTCTTTCGTGTTTAATTTGGCCAGCCAGATAATTATGTCCCATAGTGTTTGCCTCTTCATGTTGAGTCTCCCAGGAGTTCTGTGTGCTTCTTGTACCTGGATATCTAGGTTTCTGGCCAGACCAGGTATATTTTCCTCCAGTATTCTAAGACATAGATTTTCCAGCCCTTGTGTATTTTCTT